TTGGTATAGTTCTACTGTATAAAGATAGGTTAACTGTCGTGACATTGAGGTACTCACATTTAAATAGAGTTTGGTAGTGTTAAAATCGTGTTGGTACAAGTAAATGTAAGATGCAGTTAAATGTTTAGTTTGTTTTCACTTTTAGCAGCATCGATCTACTAAATATATTATAGGTGTTTTCTTATCTCCTAGTTCTGGTGATTATTTGAGGATATGAAGTTGAAGTTGCTAGTATATGATGTCATGTTCAGGAGCACAAAAACTAGACAAGTGCTTTAGGTACAACAAATGAATGTTTAATTGTCGCACCACAAACAGATACATAAAATTCGTTGATTGTGCTTTACAATATGCAATCCATACTTAGAAATCTGAAGAAAATGTTTAGAATGATAAGCAAGTATATCATGAAATAATTGATACCCAAGGACAAGCTTCATCAACATATTTAAATATAAATTAAATGAATCAGTCAGATAGTATATCTCCTTTTATGAGAGTCATTGATTTTATAAATATGATTTAATGGCATACTAAATAAGATCTGCTAGATGCACAATTAATCCTTACTGGAAACTGGAATGCCGATATTCTGTTGAAATATTCTGCATTCTTTTCTTATCCAACAAGAAGGTTGTTGACCAAACATGATTAATCTACTGTGTATTGTCTTTGTTAGCAGTGTGGTGTTTAGCGAATAACGTCTCTTCTCTACTATAATAATAATAATAATAATAATAATAATAATATCTTTTATTTATCCAGGGTTACATATTAAGACAATGTCTAGTTTACAATATGGCCCTGCATTAATACAGATATACAAGCATGACAACAATTTTAGCATAATAATAGGATGATATGCTACATAAAATAGAATTACAACATTACGAACAGTGTATTTAATATCATAGATCAGACAAATCAGGGTTTTGTAAAGTAATGATCCAGATATCTGCCTTTAAAAACACTAACACTACATGAATCTCTAACTGTGTCACTTGTTTCGTTCCATAACACTGAACATGTATATGCAAATAATCTCTTAAAATACGTGGTTCTGGCTGCTGGAACATACAGTTTATTTGTTACAGAAGCTCTAGTAGTTCTTACAACAACATTTCTAACATAGGAAAACATATTATCTAACATCCCGGGGATTCACAGTGTAGAATTTTGTAATAAAGAACCATTTTTCTAAAAACATAAAAATCTGCTATTGGCATCCATCGCAATTTTTCAAAAAGAGACCTGGATGCAGTAAGAATGTCACTAACTTTTAATAAGATCCTAGCTGCTCTCTTTTGTAATTTAAAAATCTTATCCGTATATAATTTGTTGCTAGGTTCGCTCCAGACAGTTGAACAATACATAAAATGAGGAAAAACAAACAATACTGTTATAAACTTTTTTGATAACATCATTTGACATGAAAGACCTAAGTCTTCTCAACACACCAATCTTTTTGGATATCTTCTTTGATACATACTCTATATGCTCTTTCCATGAGAGACGACTATCGATAAAGACACCCAGTAGTTTTGCACATTTAACTGTTTCAATCGTAAGGTCACACACTAACTACTGACAAGAAGTCATTTATATCTACACTAGGACTGATATGCCAGATCGCTGGAATGAGATCAATTTTAGCGTAAATAAAGATGGCAGAGAAAGTTTATTCACGTTATTTTTGACGGGTATCAATACATTGTCTTATATTGTAAAATATCTAACTCGGACAGATATATAGTGAGGCACCACAATACTGCTTACCATTGAAGATCGTTTGAAGATGGTTGAAAGGTAATTAAAACAGCATATGTTACTCCATAGCATGTATCCCTATGCAAGTCTTTGTTAAGCAATGGTCAAACAATGGTAAAGTATGGGTTATAAGAAATGTTTCCTAGATAATTAATATAATGTGTGACTCAGGTTCATGTATACAGCTAAATGTCAAATCAGCTGTTTAAGGTGTATGTGTTATAGGATTTCTCCATTTTTTATTATTAATTAAAAATGTAAAATGATTGATGTTGTCTGGAGTCATTTTTATGTTCTCGGTGGTGTTGATGGGATCATGATGACATCCTGTTGTGGTGCTGTAACCTTGGAAATAGTTGTTTGGTGTCATCGATAAAATAAGCTTGGCAAACACCTATAATGTTATGTATGCAACATAGAATTAAAATAGTGTACCAAACAATAAAAAAAATCCACAAAACGCCACAATAAAAGGACACTATCATGAACTCCAAATCAGGAAGAATTCTACTTATCTTATGCAGTGTATAAAATATCATAAACAATTCAACATACCCCTCACAATGCTAAAACTTCAAAAATTGGACAACAAATAAATATTGATAAATTTCAAACTATCATAGTTAAGGGGAGCACCTCTAAAGCATGACAATTATGTTTTAGTTAAATACAGATTTGTATGGTGTATATTTGTAATTATAATAATAATTATAATAATCAACATTTATATAGCGCCCTATACAATTTATAAAATTACTCTAAAGCGCTTTACAACACATAATCATCTCAATGTTCACATAAATAGATAAATAAAGGGTGGTATGGACATGACGTTTGGGCAAAGAGCCTAAAATGCAGACGTGAAGAGGTGGGAAAGGGTATTTGGCTTTCTGATAGCATATGGTAATTAAGCTATTCCACAACGTGGCCGAAAGCCTCCCAAAGCACCGGTTTCCGTAGGTCACAGTCATTTGTACCAATAGTTACAGTGCAAGTCGAACGTAGTCACGTGTAAGCACGCGCAGCCACACGATTATCGTTTGTGATAATAGTGCATGCTCTGATTTTATACGGTTTTATGAAGTCAACTTTTCTGATCTAACTATTAAATATGCGGTAAGTATTCACGTCTTAATTAGTCTTTATGATAATCATTTTTCTTTATACTTTTAAATGAAAACATCGTTACATACGATGGTTTCAGATGCATATTTGAATCAGTATCTAACGAAAGAACTATATATAGGTATCAACATTCGAGGTAGTTTTACGAAAAGACGAAATAATTGTTTTCTATGTGTCCTCAATGGTATTCCATAGAACATATATCTGTTACTATATCTGTAGTAGCGTTATCTCACAAGAGTGTGTGTTTATATTTGTATTGCTTTGTTTATTCAATAAGCTACCTTTATTGTATCGAAAGTGTTTTTTTTAAATCACGAGGTAGTAAATACAATTGTTATGTACATGTGTTTGGTATCAGTATATGCAATCATAAAGTCTTGTAAACACTTCAATCGGTCTTGTATTAAGTGTTTCATTTTTAGAAAATAAAAGAGAGACTTTCCTTGGCGTGGGGGCGGTAACAACTGTCATCACCTATTCCCTATAGCGTGGAATCAATTACTCTGATTCGGTAATAAATATCAGCTAACTGTGAGTTTTCTCACCACAATATCACTACACCATCGCAGTCACAATACCTTAGGGGCGCGTTTAAATGAACATGAATACAAACACTGAATTACGAAGGCAAACATTGGACTTCCCTGACATAAACCCATGCGGGTCTCTAACGAACCCGCTCGGTTCTTGAGTTTATTTTTGATTATGTCCTTTAAAGAAGAAAGCTACAAAATTGAATCAAATCTCAGGTAAATATATCATAATAAGGCTAACTAGTTCCTTATTTGTGAATCATTGCTTTCACCAAAGAAAACATTAAAGTTTCCCGTCACATGTGTCCTTTGATCGTACTGTTAGTGTTTGTATGAAGAAGTGATAAAGGCTGGAATAGTTTGTATCAAAATCAAAATACAAAGAAAAATGTAAATAAATGTTAACGGTTTTTAAATGTCAAAGTACCGAAATGTTACCAACCTAAACTTGTTTTATATTTTGTGTAAACAGAGGTTTGGAAACATATTCCGGAAATACAGTTTACCTCATGACTAAAAGTCCCAGGTTTTTTTATTTTATATTTTTCATGATTGTTATTTTATACTTTTCCAAAACTCTGTGAATATATTATAACCAGAGCGAAAACAAACAACAAAGTAATGTAAAATATTTTAAATCTTTATACAGTTATGAACTGGTGTAGCGAATCTTGCTAATGGATACTAAACTCCGCCAGATCTGTGATTTTCTTTTTGTACTTTGTCTTTTATATATAACATTCTCTTATTATTATTGACGTTAATAGAAAAGGGAAACCACGGCTAAATAGTAAATTTTACTATAATACATATTCATAGCTCAGTGTTACTTTGTAAAATGTATTAATAAAAATTGATAAATACATATAACATATTCTTTGAAACGTACAAATGTGGGTGTGTCTATAAGCAAAAAAAAAATGTTGAGAAGTCATTACTTTTGTTTTACTTCTGCGTCCACATCGATCACACTGGGATTGGTTTATGTGTAAATACATGTATACTTATGTATGTGATTGACAAGTAAATACATGTGATAAATGTGTAACGTTTTAGTCACCTCCGCATGAGCTAATCTGAAATATATCTATTTTTCTTTTACCTAGAGGAAACACGCTGACGTGAAAAACACACATAGATAGATAGGCAGGATGATCGCTGATGTGTGCTGTCTCCTTAATACTCTCTCCTCACATGCTGAAGTGCTTGGAGAATAAAAAAATGGAATGCACCCTAAAATTATCTCCGGCGTTTCTTTGCAAATAAACCGCGCGTAGTAGTCCTCGAGATGTGAATACCACGCGATTCCATGTCACTCTGTTAATGCGAACAAAAATGTAAACACTCGCGCACGTGTTGGCGTGTCATGGCGTGATCAATTTCTCGCGACGAGTTATTGACAGGTCGAACAAGAATAACACGACGTGTGACGCCCGCCCCTCCACTAAGCTCCACCCACTTAATGGATTCCTGATTGGGCGATGTGATTGCTGCGCTATTAAAGAAGACTTTTGTATAAATATCGACTACAATAAATCAATGCGAGTTTGTACACATTATTCGCCATCCTTTCGGAACTTATTTAAAATCCACATATGAAAGCTTCCTTCCCCAAAGTTACAGAACGGCTCTTCGGCACTGTACTGATAGTGGGGAAAGTTCCGCTCAGGGAAATTGTCAGCAACGCATTTCGGAAACGCGATTGAGGAAAACGATAATTGGATAGCTGTAGAACCACCGGTGCCAAAAGAAACATCACAACCATATCCTGACTCTGGAATTGAAATCTGTGTTTAAGAAGCTTAACAAATGCAGAGCTTAAAACAGCAAGATTATTACCGAACGTGTAGTTTCCCAGCACTTCCGGGAATGGTGTTCCCGGGTAGGTAGCAAGGGATATCCGGGAATTGTCCCGGTTTATGGTGTAATGAGGTAGTGGGATGTTAAGGGAAGCGTGAGGCTCGGTTCCTTCCTCTTAACATCCCGTTCCGGATGGCGCTTGTAAATATATCATTGAATCGTTGAATTGTATACATTGTGATGGACATACATCATTGAATGATTGAATTGAAACGTATTGTGTGGGCACTCTGGTGTTTGACAGATAAACAGTAATTGTTCCTTGAGACAAAAACTTATAAAAAAATTGTGTAACGACGAATTATTTCTTTTCACGGACGAAATTCTCTCCCTTTTTGTTTTATTAATGCTCGGATAAACAAGTGAACAGAAATCTAAGAATTTTTTTTAAAATATGGAAATCTTTATACTTCAAAAATACATCACTAATGATTTAAAATGATGACTTATTTGGATCATGCATTAATAGAAAATACTTTCTTATCTTATCAAGTTAAGACTTAACATTGCGTGATGACGGAATTTATTGCCAGTTATCTCATCTAGTGAAGTCATTTTTCAGAATTTCCGATATCTTTATAGAGATTGATCGAATTTGGTTGTAAACTTTTTCAATCTTATATAGTACACTCTCAAAATCAGGGAAGGGTTGAATGAGACGGATTACTGCTTTCAAACACGTTTAAACTGTTTAACCGATTGTTTTGTATTGTTGAATGAACGAGGATTTTGTGCACTTTTAGTTCATCAAAAAATAACGTTGTAGATAGATTTTGATTATATATAAAGTCAGGTTTTTAGTTATTGGTTGTTCTGTCACAAAAACTAACCGATTATTATATATATAGCTATGCTTTATTTTTTCTATCATTCAATAATATTTCTTACAGATATGTTCGTAAAAACATCACTTAATATCTCCTTATTTCAGTTGAAAAATGCACCACACATTTTACAATTTGTTTTCGCTCGTTTTCAGATCCGTCCTATGGGAAAACGGCATGGTCACCTCAATCGAGCCCGCAAAGTCCAGGTGAGTTTTCCTAACTTTTTTTTTATATAATACATTTTACATTGTCATTGGGAAAATCAGGGGAAAGTTTAATTTTACTGCATTCGACTTTGTTTAAGCATACAACTTTGGAAGTAAGAGGTTGTCAAATACTTTTTGGATAGTAGATTTTAGATTTGTTCATATTTTCTAATTGCCAGGAGAGTCAACAAAATACTTTTTGAATAACACATGATAGTTTTGTTCAATATTAGGTAAAACTAATGATGCCTTTACACTATTGTGATTACCAACTTGTATACATTCATTTAACATCGCTACACTGAAATGTTAATATATATTATATATTGTGAAAGTAAAACATTGATCATGGTTTCGCTTGATACAACATTATTTATTAAACGTAAGGGTTATTTTCACAACAGTTTTCTAACGGTGATATACTACATATTTGTATGATCACAGCCCATATTTCTGCCTAGATTCTTAAGTGATTTCAAATGTAGCTTCCGTAAAACAAATCTTATGTGCTATAAATAATATCTATTATTTGTGAATTTGCATTTTATGTATGTTTATTGTACTGAGTTATAATACTTTAGCAATATAACTGTCTTACGTTCATTAGTAGAAATTTTAAACACGATTTGTCTGATAAATCTTATAAAATGTAACTAACGCGGAACTCGGCTGCATGTTCTGTATATGACAGTTTGTATAGTAACGCATAAATGTACTTTTCAAATATTTTTTTAATGTTGATATCGCATGTGTTAGGAAACTATATTTAACCTAAAAACAAATCGTATTAACCCGGGTCGATATGTCAATTGTAAAGTGTAACAGAAAAATTCATCATTTCGATTGACACTTAATCGATTTGTATTGACAGTTGCTTGTCCTCATGTCAACTAAATGTCATTTATATAAAATCTCCATGGAAGAATCACTGCAGTGATAATAGGTGTTTTTTTGTATCAGTACATTACTAGGTTTGTTATTAGCACTAGAGTTACATGTTATAAATCTCTTGCACGTATAAGATTGGACACATCAAATCATATTTAAACAAACAAACAAAATAGCATCATACATTTTATTCTATAAATTATTTTATTTTATTTTCAAACATGTGATACAAAGATATTAACACAATTTAACGTTGTAAAAAATAATAAGGTATTCATATAGAATTTTCTTAAAACTTGCCGACATATTTGTAGGACTGTATTTGCTGTGTTTACTTTAGACTAAATAATCGGTTATATCGAAAGAAAACTCGATGTAGAACAATGCCATTTTCTTTTTCGGATTTAATGTTTTTAAATTTATATATATGTGTAATTATTACGAGATTTCTAAAAGTTAATTAAACGGATATTGGGTAGAATCTTTGAAATAATATTTTCTTTTACTGACACTATCCGATAATGGTGCTCGTATGATTTTAAGTATTGGTGACCGATCTGATGTTTTAAATGGTAAGGAATTTTTCAGAAGTTTATATATCGTCTTCGGATAATAGTTTTACCGTTGTAATGGTTTCGCAAAATCGATCATATTTGTAAAGTACAGTAGGTAAATATGTCATGTTTAAGTTTCCCAGAGCGTTACGTAATTTTTGTATACACTTGTTCACTCAGTCATGCGTGTAATTAACTTATTGTATTAACATAATGGGAAACATTAACCGATCACTGAGGATTGTTATCAACCTAACACTAACACTTCTGCGGGATATGTACGATTGGTCATATAAAATACTAACTGCTTCACTTTATAAAAACAAAAAATAATTCGAATTTCAATGAAGATTGAGTCACCCAAAGCGTCCTAGGAACAAGAGAAGGCAATTTGTGAAAATAGTCTTTTTGTTGCTTTATGACAATTAATTTAAATTTGTGGAATCTGAAATATAACTTTCTTTTTAGTATATAAAAACTTAATTTGAGAAAATTTGAATTTTTTAAAGTCAATTTAATGTAAATTTGTGTGCGTTAATGTTAAATATAACTTTCATCGAACCACAATTAGCTTTTGACAATACACCGTATATTTATAGTGATATGGCCTTATTGAGCTGATTAGTTTAGACAGTCGCTTTCACTTCCAGTAAATTTAACCAATCATGTATATTAATTTAGTTAGATGCTATTTAAATCAGTATGTTTTACAAACATATCTAGTATTGAATACATCGTATCTTATTAGCATGCATAAGCTTCAGAGGTATTTCTAAAACATGTCAACAGGAAATATGGCATGTGTTAGGTTACCGGTAGTACAGACTTGTATATAACATTACCTGAATACTGTTATGAACAACATCCACTGGTGTCTGAACTGTAAATATAAAGAATATAAATATGAGCAGCTTTATGGCATCGCAAATCATTTTCAATTGTATCAGTTGAAGCTATAAGGTTTATCAATGGATGTATTATATTTAAATGAGACAGTGAGTGACTCTAACAGTTTCTATGTTGGTTATTTAGATAAGTGTATTACCGGAGGTTTACACAGGGAACGATTTATCTGTTGGTCCATTATCTGTCATTTGCTTTGGTCTACCGCAGAAAAACGTACTGAAATAAAATAAATACGATTGGCAACTATGAAGTCTATTCAAATCAATGGAAACTTATCAGTAATGTTTATAACATTCAGATATAGTACTTTTGTATATTACCGATATCATGGCATCTATACATAACTAACCAAGTAGGAGTATTGGCAATATATACAAAAAAAAACGTCAAAATGTAAATCTGAAATTGAAAATGAAATAAATACTTTAGACATAAATGAAACTATTCAATATGTTCATAGCTTAATATTGTATATTATATTATGTAAAAGAATCGTATTTAACGGTTGTATTTCATTGTCATTAATAGTAACAAATATGTCTAAAAATTGAATATGGAAATTGAAGTTTATCGTGATATCCGTCAATTGTGACATTTTCTTCATTAATCTATTTGTAATTCCAGACAGTTAATAAACATTAAAATACATCATTGCTATTTTCTAAACGGAAAATATGTGTCTTTTGTTTTAAATAAATTTGTATTTTCTGATGTCAGATATTATATGTTGTAAGTCAGTAATACAGCTAATTATGTTGTGGCATACTTACTTCCAGCATGCTATTTTTATGTATTTTTTTGTTAAGCTTTTGAATAAGAGCGTAAAGAAATAATTTGAATTAGTAACTAATTGTTTTTAATTTGTTATTAAATACGATTACATACGTAACTAGTTTATTCTATTCTTCGAACGTGATTTTTAAAGTTCATGTAAATAAATAAAAAAGTAGGATGCATATTGATTAAAAAAATAAATAAAGTATTTGCATAATTATCTCCTACAAGCCTGTTTTTCCATCACAGTATGATTTGGCGGTTAGACGGCTAATACATGTACCAAAATATTACAACGTGTATTTTATTTTTGTAGGCTACCCTCATCCAAATTCAATATCAGCCATAAGTAAGCCGGGTTTTGAGGTTCCATACACATCCTGGCGTCCACAAGGTATATATACTGTTAGATTTAATTAAAGCTCATTTAGTACTGCAATAAGTAGTGTTTTTATATACCAAGCGAGAATCCCATGAACAGGACGAATGCACGCACAAATTGCTTGATATCATTAAGTACGTTTATCGGTACTGTATTCATATACATGTATCAATAGTATGAAAACAAAAAAACTATAAAAGGGACATTCTGATATGATAAAAGAAAATATTGATAGACAATATGACAATTTTGATTTAAAATTGAAATGGTAAAAGTAAAATGATTATAGAAATGTTTGTCAGTACACCAGGGACGTGAACAGTTATTTGAATTAACAAATCAAATCAAATTGATATATACAACATGTCTAGTTTCAAGATGAATTTCATCTATCTTTACTTACCGATATATTGTTTTACTATCAGATAAACATATTGTAATATTGTGTTTACATTACCTAATCCGTTTTATCAAAAAGTACAAATGGTTAAGTATTACATTACAAATATAGTCATTATAACGGATACAATTTTGGTTTATACATAACATTTGTGAATGATTCTTATGCAATATAATTGTATTTAAATGTCAATTATAAGATAGTGTCGATACACTCTGATTAGCAAATTGATAAAGAAGCCCCAACCACATTTCATAAATTTAAGTACATTAACATTGATATGTGATAAGGAACCTTTAAAATATTAATTATATATTGTTACCAAATGGGGGAATGTTTCACATTTAAATAATCTTTTTTCAATGTAACATTTTTATTATGATCAATCTGTTTTCCTATAGAACAAAAGAGCTATTCATTTCATCACTATGTTTACTAAGGAATATGAATTAAGAGCAAAACTCTCAATTTTCGATAGATATTAAAAAAAAGTTGTCAATTAAATTGAAAAAACAATTATTAGATGTAACATACAGTCAAATATAACGACATATGTGCACACAATACTAGCGTGGTATACAATATCAAATTAAAACCTTTTTACAGAGGTATAAAACTAACATATGGTTTGTCAGTCTCGGAAATATTTTCCAATTTCGCCTCCTGTCTACATAGGTATCTGATCTTTTTGTCAATATCTCGCAGATGTAATTGAGCATTTTAATGCACAAACCGGGCGGCGGGGATAATTTGGTAAATTTCCGGAAAGACCTAGCAACGAAATCAGCATCCCACACCAATAAGTCATGAATATGCCTAAAGGTTTCCTAATTCTCGTTTCATTATCGGTAAATAATTTCCGAATTTCATTTTCAACATTTTCCCTCTTGGCAATGCGAAAATGATTCCTAAATTACCACGTTAATTACAGCAGAAGTTATCGAATTTACCGACCGGATTCCGGATACCTTATAACGTTTCCCGTTTAGAAATATCCGAGATTTGGACAAGATTTCAGCTGTGTTGAAAGTGTTAAAGCAAACATCTGTTAGCCTACGCGTTAACATTCCACCTGAACTGGGGTGTATCGGTTGACAATGGTATTTACAGGTGTAGGAACCGTTAGACACTTGATACGCGTAGATAACACTGGCAGGGTCACCCAGTAGCTCCCCTAGGGTAGACGTCGAGTCAGACAGCCAATCAATACACAGCCATATGGACATTCAATCCCTCTTTGTGAAGCCATTAAAGGACGTAATACTATCTGCAACAAATACATCCTCTTCTCGGTTAAAATTTACTCGTCCGAGAAAATATTTGCTCTGGTTAAAGGTTTTATTTTCCGTTTGCGATTAATGTTCTGAAGTGTCGTGCACACCATGACCCGGCCCTTTAATACTAATCCGAGTCGTGGAACCCGACAGGAAAGTAATTTAAATTTACTTTTATAACATGTACGCGAGTTTGAAACATTAGATGTAAAGCGAACTCCTTTCTATTCATTTTTTAAAACGTTTCAGCATCGGTTTCTTTTAACAACATGTCGAAGTTGAATTAAAAAGAGGAATGAAGTTTAATTTAGTTGGAAAGAAACAGTTGCACCTTCCTTGTAGTGACATTAACCCACAGTAAAGAGGTGAGACGTGTGTGCACCGCGAGTCACAAAACTCACAATTATCATTACCGTGTATTGATAATACATTGTATCTGGTCAATTTCAAGATATCTTTAAAGATAAAAAGCCTACCATGATATTAAAAAACATAATTAGAGACCTTTTTAACTTTTGAAGGAAGGATTATTATAAGCGTCGGTAAAGTTTTCATTTTCTTCTTCTCTGTATTAATGCGTTTTGGTATTGGTGTTTTACAGGGAGTGGACAGATCCAGCTGTGGCAATTCCTACTTGAGTTACTCTCAGACAGCAGTCTGTCAAACTACATCACGTGGGAAGGTACCAACGGGGAGTTCAAACTGGTCGACCCGGACGAGGTCGCTCGACGCTGGGGCGAGAGAAAGAGCAAACCTAACATGAACTACGATAAGCTGAGTCGGGCGCTCAGATACTACTATGACAAAAACATTATGACCAAAGTACACGGCAAGAGGTATGCATACAAATTTGACTTTGCTGGTTTAGCACAGGCAATGCAACCCGCCACTGCCGACCCAACGTCTTACAAATACCAACAGGACTTTTTTATGTCAAGTTATCACCATAACTCAAAGCTCAACTTTATGAATGCTCATCCACCTATGCCGACCTCCAGTGCTCACAGTTTGTTTGGTCCTCCTTCAGGGTACTGGTCAGCGCCCAGTCCAAACCTCTACCCAAACATCCCCAACCACCACATGGCACATCACACCTCACACATGACACCACACCTGGGCTCATATTACTCATGAAAGCACATGCATTGACTTAAAAAGGCAATCCGTTTTCGTGAAAAATGCTTTCAATGAAAGACCAACTCCTTGACAGAAGATAATATTTTCGTCGCTTGAAGGAGAGAACAAACAACTTTCTCTGATGGCATTCCATGGCTGTGATGACCGTCTGTTTTTACAGACTGGGCGAAGAGGACAGGTTTGGTGCAATATTGATATATTGCATGAATATGCCGTGTGCTTGGACAGGCCTGTTAAGTCGTGGCCAGACTAAGTAGCATATGTTTCTGTGAGTTGTGCCGTTTGTTGATGGCAAAATACCAGACCAATGCACACTGTTGTGAAGGGCAATGATTTTATTTCCTCTTCAAAACGTTATTGATGAAATCGGTTGTCGCTGTCCAGTGCCATCGTCTGTAAGGAGTGTGTGTCGGCACTCTTCACCCCAGCAGTGGTAGGGGAACGATGTGAGCCATAATTAAGTGATACGTCAAGAACTCTAACGGGTAAAGATCAGTCTAGTAAGCTATTGATTATTTTTACAAAGATAAATCTAGAGACGTAATAAATTAATCGAAGGAAATGTCTTTTTCTAATGTACAGATGAAATATAGAGTATGAACGAATGATCTATGAGATTTGTGCGATCAATTCCATTTTCACAACAGTTGCTAGAATCGACGACGGAAGGAAGTCGATCCGGAGACGCTATTCCGCTTGTAATTTCTTCCTTCTTGAGTGAGTTCATTTAGTATCGTTGAGTCTGACAGATAGAAAATTGGATTTCTCAACTGGAAAGAATAAAAAGTCGAGTTTAGACTTCTTCCGATTACAGAGATCGTATCCGCTTTTATATAACAACGTGCCTTGTGTGTGTAATGTCCGTGCACGCAGTCTTACTGCGATTCGGATGGGTATTCCGTATGGATATTTAGGATTATCTCTGATTTTTCTTTTTATCGATATAGCAAATCAGATTCATTTCCTGTACTGACGCGGTTGCATAGCTGTAAGTGTTCCCATGGGCGCGCACTGTGTTGCCAGCATTAGGTTGTTACTGTTATTTACCGGTACAGTCCGAAGCTCATATTTAAATGTTTTCCTAATTAAATGATGGGACACACATTAACATAGAGATAATGTCATCTAAACGAAGAGAGAGCTCATCGCCTTTCAATGTCCGCTGTCACCTGCGAGAATCTAGATAGAGCTATGAATACAGACGTCTTTCAATAGCCCTGCGTTCTCTTAAAGCTAATAATTGCTAAATGTTGGTTGAGACGCGAATAATGATGTTGAATAAATAGCCGCGAATGGCTCTCTGTGCAATAAATGACGTTCTTTCTCGTGTGATCTTCGAGACACGTGGCTATGCACGGTCTTTTCTATAACGGTTCGTGCTCACCGGAATAATATTGGTCTGTATGTAACCGTTGAATTACAGTTCGTACTGGGACTAGTCATTAGTTTTATTAGGGTCTTCTATCGAGACAGGCCTATCAATGAAAAGGACGAGCTATTGTAAATATTAGTACGGTCGGACTGTGTGTGTGATATCACAAAGAACTAAGGTGATACATCCAAGTTCGCACAATGAAAATGAGATCATGTTAAACGTATTGTGTCGAAATGAGATATTGATCGGGAAAGTTGTCTATTAGATATATCGATACATACTGATGATGAATGTCATAACATGTGATAGAACAATAAAACATTAAAACGAACTTCGTGTTTTTGCTTGTTTTTTTAAATTATATGGTAATAGCGGTTAAAACAGATTACCATTTACAACATGTGCCTGGAAATGTTTTTATGACTTTTGCTTTGAATTATTGGATTTCCTACTAATATATGAATATTAATCTACATTTCTTAACCTTGTTATTGGCTGCTCCCTTATTAGTCAGTATTATTTGAAAAGAAAACAACAAAAAGTTGTATCAGTAAATTATTAAATCTCTCGTGAGATTTTCATTGTCATTTACTCGAACACCTTATTTGGAATAGGTCACAATTCTAGCCTAATCAGTTTCTTCATAGTTCCACAGCAAACTATACGTATCTATATTACGTATTTGAGAACTATTAAGTTCAACTCATATCACGGAATGACATTATGTGAATGAAACAGATCATAAATAAACTGAATATGTAATTTTATTATTTATAAGAAAATCTTATATCGCCACCTAATACGATATATATTCTGTATTATGATGTAATCAAAGCAATAAGCGGTATTATATTATTATATTCATATAACGACGTCTGCATTTTCATATGAATAATTATGACAGAAAATAAGCAATCAAATGTTGGAATTCAACATATTCCGTCTTTGCGTATTGCAGAGTTATCTGCTCTTGTGAGCAGGTATTAATTGTTACGTCATTTGTTTGTGAGAGGAACGTCATCAATATTTGAGAAAACGACGTAATTTTCTCACACAAACCAATGACGTATCAATCAATACCTGCTCACAAGAGAAGATAAGTCTGCAATATGCAAAGACAGGATAAAGATATTTGGAGTTTTACCTGTAGAGGTAGATATGGCTCGTACAACTTGTAGGTTTCATTTGAAGAACTGCCCGAAAGGAATAATTGTAATTTTCATTGTATTCGTATGTTAGATTAGATATCTGCACAATACATACGTATAAAAGCTATATAATAATAAGATTGTTTATCTATACAATTAATACATGATTTATGTTTATCATTTCTTGTTAAAAGAAGTCATATATAAACTAACAGAACATGAAAACTTGTGTAAATACAAATGATGTTTTAAGAATGATAAATATGAAAACATGTACGATATTTAATTAACCTATTTTGAATATCGTACATTCTGTTATTGACAACAACATTTGAATATTTATTATTGAGAAGGATCGCGGTAAATGAAAAATACCGGCAGTTAACGTGATAACAAAACGTATTTATTCAATATACTTTATCTTATAGGTGTATGATTGTTCATATCAGTGTATAATATGTCCCCTTACATATTTATTCAGTAATATAATAACAGTAACTAATTCAAATATGTTCTACCAATCAGGATTTGCACACGATATGCCTACTAAATTCATACATAGAGCAGGTTTAAAAAATCAAAATGCATTTATACTTTATAATAAAAATGTGAGATTTTCGCGAAACTCATTAACTTTTGAATACCAATTTATTTCATTTCACGACTATGTTTCTTTTGTAATCGATTTTGATTCTAGAATATTCTGAAAATATTTATTGTCTGATAAGTATAACAGACATGATGACTGGAGATTTAAATTTCATTTCAGAATATTTATTGTTCAGATCTTAGATACAAAGGAATTGGGCAACAGGCAAAGCCTATGAGCGCCCTCTCCTTACAGTTATAAACAGTTTACACACATCATATTGAATTGAAGTAATGATAAAACATGTATATTATGTACATGAATATTGATATTTGCATGTCATTAATTTTTTTTTTGGTAATGGTTGTACAAAAACTAGATTTTACAAAAAATGACAATTGAAATTATGCTGATGGACAGCACATAGTACAATTATGTACTGGTATCATTCTATACAGCAAAGTCATGTGAAAAAAGATAAACAAGTAAGTGTAATCTAGTTAAAGCGTCTTGTATCTTTAACGAATCTCTGAACCATCTCCAAGATACTTATATTCATATTGATATCGAGTCTTCGACATCCATAAAGAAAAGTCTGAGTATTTAATGGAATAATGTCATTAAGAGCAGAAATGGAGTTTAGGAGAATTTGCCTTTGACTAGTATACAGAGTACAATGAAGGAAGAAGTGATCACAATCCTCAACAGGAGAACTACATAAGCAGGCAGGGGTATCAATTAGGTGAGATTCAAATAGATCTGAATTCAGGTTACTGGCACAGTTTCTAAGTTGACATAAGGTAATATTACATTTTCGATCACCATCGTATTTAAAAATATCAGTACATTGGGGTTGAGAATCCATTTCATCTGAGTGTAAAAATTCTCTTTTTATAGATCCAATGGATGTCATTGTGGGATACAGGCAAGTTGGATTATTTCATTCAGACATCAGTTTCGGGAAAAAACTGGCATTATATAACTGAGTTCTTGGTATAGGAACATCAAAAATTCTATTGTGGCGAAGATGATAATTGTCAGTATTATCATTAATGTACGGTTGAATTATATCATAGACATGAGAGGGACATTTCCTCTTTTAAATTTTATAAAAAGTAATATTTTGATGCAAATGTCTTCTTCTATTAAGTGTTATAAAACCAGATTCTCTATATAAGATAGTATGACTTGTTCCACGTCTTAACCCTGAAATAATACGTGCTGCTTCTAGTTGGATAGGCTCCAAGACACTGCATTCATTCTGCGTGCAGTTTGCCCATATAATATTAAAATATTTAAATTGACAGATTCTTAAATACAGATATGTAGAAAAACATTGGGAGTGTTGTACCCTCGTCAGGCGTGTATTAACAAATCTATGCTTTATGAATATCACTTTTTTTTTTTACATTTTTGATTGATTTTTTATTTCGATTGATAACATTAAAACAAAATATATGATAAAAAACTCAATGAGTGTACCGTAGAGCTCTTTTCAAACAAATATATACAGGTATATATTGCATATCAGTAATTCATAAGGAATTAATTTTAAGTGCTGTAAGATAAGCTCTATCCTCAGTAATGACTTGCCAAAATTACATACAGATGGTGGGTTTTTTAAATGAAAATAAGATACAATCAATAACATAATATACATGTACTCTTCATCCATACAATGTACCTGCTATTTCACTGATATTTTCTACAATATGATTTAGTCTCATTCCTGAAACACTTATGATATTTTGAGTTTGTATTACATAAATATCCTTATGTAAAACACGTGTAACCACTGTCTTTGGAATTTTACATTAATTAAGTAAAAGCATATTAAAATCGCATTAAAAAACAATGAAGTTTCCTAATTTAGGTGTATATCGAACGACACTGACAGGATATGTTTAATATAGGATAATACTTCCATTCGAGTAAGTGTTTCTATTTATATTTAAACGTAATTAATGTCATCACGGTACATGAACAGCTGAGATATGACTTAAAAGGCAACGATCTGAAGATGCAGGTTTTAATTATTTAAAGAAGAAAAAAAATCAAGACATCAGTGACTATATCAAGAAGAAACCAAATAAAAACATTTCCTATTGAATACTATCGTCTGGTTGGGCTATATACAATTGTACAATATATTTTGGAATTTTTACAGTCCTTTATTATTTTGGTGTATATAACGTTTTTTAAATTACAGGTCAGATAGATATTATTTGACTAAACCAACTGCAATTCCACAGAGAAACATGTGAAGCGATTGCTCTACAGTAATCAGCTCGAAACAAACAAGTTGAGTCAAAATATGAAAACATCATAAAAGATGGAATCTAACCATACTTCCATATTTGGGCCTGAGGTACTCCAAACATTTTATGGTGATAATAGGATCCGACGCCGGTCGTAGATTGCAGGTTGGAGCCGTTCCATATGAGTAGTAGCAGCTCTTAACACGAAAGAGCAATAATGTTATAATCCTAACGGTTCTTAGGCATTGCACGCAACACTCTGACAAAAAGGTCACGACAACGCCTTACGTATTTACACTTCATTATTGACTATTTAGACCCTCGATGATACCTTATGTGTCATCCATATATTTTCAAGAAAATATATAAACAAAATTTGTAGAAATCACATTCATGGTTAGGCTTTGGAACATCGATATATATGGAGTATACACTCTGTAGTATAACCGTTAGTTTTTAAAATATCTATTATAGGATAACTTTGGAATTAGTCGATGTTTTGTGATCAGAACCATACACATTAACATGCGTGTATCACCGAAATATTGATAATCTATCACTCACTTTATTTGATTTCACCCTTTTTCATTGTGTGCAATTATTTGACATTTCATTACATAAGTATTCATTAATTCTATGGAAAGGATATGGATAGGATTATCTGCTATCATCTACGAAAATCGCATCTTTTCCCTATGATATAACACGATATACATAAATACAAATTTCAATGAGATACAGTTTTCTCATTATTTTATTTTTCTGTTTATTTATTTATTTCACCATTTGTAGGGAAATTACTATTCTCCTTTTATCAATGGCAATATAATAATAAATAATAGGTAAGCTGGAGTTTTCTAAACTGTTTAATGCTGCATTTATAAACACGTTTGTTGATAAAAAATGATTTTCAACAACATAACTAGATAGTTAGACTGTGAACATATTTGCTGTCCATCATATAACCAAAGATAAATAAATAGGATCGTTTTTATTATTTATTGTCGGGTTTTGTTGCATATTATATAGTTTGTTTGGTTTATTCCTAAGCGACTCCCGTGCCAGTCGACCCGGAGTCAGTAAACATTCGGTTGGTTGGAGTATGTTCTGTATCTGCGATATTACAGTATTATTGGTAAATGTTGATAAGTAAGTGTCATTATGTTAAGTATTCTTAAGTTGAATTTATAGTTATAGCATAATATGCTTTCGCCTACAGTGTTGATGTTTGAAGATGGTGAACAGGATTTCCCTGTTTCTTTTTCAGGAGTTACCTGTTTGAGATTGCTCTTACACAAACAAACCATGGTACAGTAATTTTAACTGTAATATCGCA